GCAGGCTAAATACCTGTGTGAATTCTCTTATTTGTCTTTAGAAGCTAGTCATCACTTTATACAGAGGCTAGTCACCACTCTGTACATGAAAACCAGTATTAAATTTAGTACATTAAATACACATACATGGACCGATGTGACACTGTTGGCGAGTCCTTGAAAACGTGCTTACGGAAACTGAAACCCCAAGGCCAAAGTATTGTAAATCACTTGTTCCTACTGGATCATCATCTTCGTCCATAAACAAAAATTGAATCTGTCAACATTCCTGTGAGCATTATAGCTCTGCCTTCTTGCAAAAGCCCCAGTGAGATGAACCCATTAAATAGCTCTGTCACGCCGCTCATGCTGTAACAATACCTGCACACTGCAAGCTGAAACACAAATATTTGGCCTACACATGACATCATTTTCCTTCTCCTGGGTATAATGAACTCCATTCCTATACACAGCAGTAAAAGTCCAGTCATGCACAGCTGTATTATGAAGCATTTCCACTGGAAAGCATGGAGATTTAGCAGTGAGCAGTAAGCCATCCACCCAGTTTTACAACTGGGTTTTATGGCATTCAAATGGAAAGAAATGATGCGATGGAACTGTAGTCTCCGTGCAGCCCTGCCTCCTGCGGTCCCGAGCCCTGGCTGCCACTGCTTCATGAGGCAGGCAGAAAAAGAAAGAAGGTAATCTGCCACCAGAACCATTCTTCAAGTGCTACGTAAAATGCATTACATGCACATGGAAATTTACATTCATAAAAATGTAAACATTACAAAGACATGGCTATAGGTTAGATTCATGTCACAGTACATGACTCTCCTCTCTCTCCAACTTGTTAAGAACCTGGAAGCCATAGTCACACCCTTCTTGATGAAACCACAATTACTAATTCACTAGCAAGTTACCTCACCGATGATACCTTTTTTAGGTATTTGTAACAGAAACATTGACATATCTTTGTAAGCACCAGCAGAAGCTGCAGGACAAGGAGCAAAAAGGACGGTCTGTATGTCACAGGGCACTGTCCCCCGAACACCATTCCCCAGCAGTGAAACTGCAGAACATGCTGTTTATATTGGGATCAAAAGGCCCGCACTCTGATAAATCAAACCACACAGCAGAAATGACTCCTCAGACCTGCGTCCCAACATCAGAAGGATGGCCACAAGGTTGCAGCGTATTACATACACCATTCCCCTTCCCCTAACCCAAGAAGAGAAGAGACCACATACATATATTTTAAGCATACATTTAAATGAGGAAAAACAGACAACACACAGTAACATGCCCTCAGATCTATGGAGGCTAAAGACAGAAATATTCTGAGGCATAGAAAAAATCCATAATAATTGCTGAACCCTAAAAGGCCTGAAAGATATGTCTAAAAACTAGCTCATCGTCATCATTCAAGAACCCTAGATATGTGAAGAGGACTGGATAACAGTGTCCCTTTTTCTTCAAGTCCGGACAACTTGGACATGTCTTGGTACCTCTGAGTATGAGTGAATTAAACTTAGAAGGAAATGAGAGCAGGCAAAAATGAGCTGGCCTAATGACTCTGTAAACAAATAAATATCACCTTCCCCTTCCATAAAACCTAGCCCTGAATTTTATTACTTTAATTTCCTAACACCAGCAGCTGAGATATAAGCTTCATATTTGTGAATTATATCCAGTTCACAGAAAGTTCTAATGGACAGCATGACATTTAGATTCTGCAAAATCTGAGATTCAAAAAAAGCCAGTCTGTTGTGAGACCTTACATGTATTAAGAAGTTACTTACATGGCAGCATAAATCACTGCACACATCTCTGGAGCAAAGAGGAAAAAGGAAGGATTTCTAAATGTGGTATTTCAAAGGCACATTAGTTGCTCACACTAACATTTAATGCTTGGGATTGCAAGTCAAATAAAGTGGATGAAATCCTTGTGGGGTTTTTGGTTAAAAAAGACAAAATGAGGATGTGCCTAGGCTCCTTGTGCAAATGTCCTCAAGGTATCAAAATACTGTATCAAGGTAGAAGGTATCAAAAATTTTCCACAAAATTCTTGTTGCAAGCAGAGATACATCCAAATTACAGTCCTACGGGGCCACACCAAAGCCACAGTTTAAGTGCTCTCTTTTCTTCCACAAATATGTCTTGCAATAAGAATTGTTTTTAAGTATTCCAGTTTATCTATCAGCCTGTTAGAACAAAATTAAACAGAAAAACACAGAAGTGTATTTTTTTTCTTCTATTCAAATAATATAATTTTTCTCTTTTAAAAAAAAATAAATTAAAAGCTAATGACAAAACATAACTACTGAGAAAACTTGACCTAAATGAATTCTTCCATTATACAGTTTGTTTAATACTCTCTGGATAATCAACTGGTAGTAATAACATTAACTAGTCTGACTGGTATGTGCACAGGACTGATATTTTTATTACTTTGAATAAAGGCACCCACCACTGGAATATACTCACTGGTAGAATGATAGGTATAGAAATAGAAAATAAACCCACCACTAGAGTGATGCTATAATGCAGCTAAATCCCATATTTCTTCACCAGTGTCTTTATCTCTGTATTTATATAGATTCATTTTACCTATTTCACACCCCTCATGAGTTAGTTGGAATACTGTAGAGATTAACAGAAAACCTAACTCGAATTGAGTCAAAAAAGTCTGAGGAAGAAAAAAAAATTATAAAAGGAAGAAAAAAAAAAAAGACAACCCAGAAAGGTCAGAGTCAAGAATTACATGTATCAGGGCAAATAAAGAGTTCTGAAACAATTCTCAGGAACTATCTGGAGAAACTACTTTGTACAAGCTAAGATGCATCAAACTAAAGGTCACAGCAAAGACCAAAAGGGTAGCTTTCCCAAATGATGAAAGAAAAAAAGTTATGCTTTGGTACTCTTTCCGTTGTCTCAGTCTTTCCAGTACTGAAGTACATAACAAGCCAAAGACAATGCTCTTTGAAATTACCTTCCGAGGAAGACATAAAAGTCTTGCCTGCCCTTAACACCAACAACATGGTAAGTCAGTAACAGTAACCTGGACCCTGGCAGGAGTCCTCTAATGAACTGCAATTTAGTACATGAAGGCATCACCCTTACACAACTGACTTCTGTGATGCAGGATACAACCTCTGCAGGAGAATCAGAGAGAAAATTTCTGTCTAAGACTCAGCTGTTCCAGCTCCTATGTCCAGTGTTTCAGTGCATGCGTACCTTTACTGTGACTTCTTAAATTTCTGCAAATACATTCACTGAAAAGTGACCTATCAGGGATACAACAGTTTCTCATCATTCCATCCTGGTTTGTGGAAGGAAAAACAGCATTATGAAGTCTTGCTATCTTGTCCCCACAAAACTTCTCAAGATAGGTTTACAAAAGCTTGTTGCATTGTCGAGATCTCACAAACACTACCAGAACATCTGTATCTGCATTTAGAAGCTTATTTTCTCAAAAAAAAACCCCAACCATCAAATTCCAGGAAATAAATTTGTGGCTAATGAGTAGCACAGAAAAATTAAAGGCTCTATAAAATTGTATTTCTTTTTATCCTAAGAACTTAAGTCTCAACCTGTAATCCGAAATTTAGTCCCAAATGTATTATCTTTCAAAATTAATTTAAATTGTATGTTTGAGCTCCATTAAACTTCTGCAAAGTTAAAATTTTCACTATATGTTTATTCTCAACGACCAGGATTATTTTCTTTCCAAGAGCTGCTAATTCTAAGCATTATTATTATAACTGACAAAAAGCCCCTGAAGAACCCTGGTGATACGCCACATTAGACTCCTTTTGATAACAGTAGCAGGAGCAACTGGTTAGGAACAGAAAAAAGCAACAGAAAACATTATTTCAGAACAGTAACATAAAATTGTCTTCTGAATAAATATTAGATAAGTATTTGTATTTGCTCACTTTCATTTTTCTGAATGCACGTTAAATCTAAATTTGTCTGAAGAATTTATCTCATCAATCCATGTGTCCGTCTCAGAAGGTGTCACTATTCACTCAAATATATTAGACACTTTGGAGAGAATTTTGGCTCTAACGATGGGATTAGACAACTCTTTTCACAGTCACTGCAATGACAGCTGCATTCATTTCCCTCAGACTTGAAGTCAGAAGCAAATTCACAGTTTGCAAGCGAGAATATGTTCTGCTGGATATTTACAGCCAACCATTGAAATCCCTGAAACCTGTCAATGATGTCAAACAGGACAGAAATAGATCATATTTCTTGTTTTTCCAAAATAAACTTGCATTCATAAAAGAAACAGGAACAGAAACCTTGAAGAAAAAGACCCTCTTCTATCACACCCACTATGAAAGCACTAAACCACTCAAACTTTTCTTGGAAGAACCACTGCAAGAAAAGGAATCACGTTTGTGTCTCTGTCTTCGTGCTTTATCTCTCCACTTAAACTGTCAGCAACAAAAACATTTTTTTCTTTTCATTATAAAGCCTTTTACTTCTTTAAATAAGAACATGGATAATAGCTGGATCTATAGGGAGGTTCATCATGCCATTTCACATGCCACTAAGCAGAAGAATTGCGTTTATAAATGTCAGTCCCTACCACCAGGTAAAGGGGCTCAAATTTAACCACCACCAACATGCATGACTTCTATGTTACCTTATAGCAATCCACTTACCAGATGGTTTGCAGAACAAAACCAGGAACAAAATCAAAATGAAACTATCTTCAGCCTCATTCTTTATTACTGAAGATTTTATTGACTGACAAAAGTAAGGACAGGCATGAGGTTTGGTAGGAAGCTGCTCTCAGAAAGTACCATAAAAACCAACCTGAGTGACCTCAGAGAAAGTGATAGGCAAAACTTGGTTTCTGGAGATCTCAAGTCTAAGTAATCCTTCTGCACTGCATGTTTTCAAGCAATGCTGTTCGTACCCTACAGAATAATTCTTCTGATCTCCAACTCAGCAACAAAGGAAGAAGTAGAGCTTTAATTAGGAATTAATAAAACAACAGTACTTACGCTGACCCCACCGGCCTGTTCTTGGATTCAAATAATTTGGATAAAGTCCATTAGGACGATCCATTTTTTGAAGTAACTTCCGAATGTGCATGACCTAAATTAAATCAAGAATCAGGATCACCACTGACAACGTTCATCTCTCTCTGCATATAGTTAAATCTAATATTTTTTTTTAGTAGTAAATTTTCTTAATCTGAACCCAGAAGGTTTCTTGAGGGCTTCCTGCAGATTAGTATGTTTATGTTTTTAAAGGACGGCTCCTATAAACATGTTTAAAAATTATGATTTTTTAAATGCATGACAAAAATAAGAAAACTTGTGTTGTCATAAATTTCTACCTGAAAAAGTCACCTTTTGGGTAACAGAAATACAAGTACGAAAACATTTACCTGCTACCAAGAATGCAAACAGAATTCAAAATAGAAAGTACTTCCCCTTTAATGCATTTTATGATTAAATAGTATAAAAGACACTTGTATGATAAAAACCTGAATTTGAGACCCACCTTGTTGTAGTATACAGGGTCCCCTGTCAAATAGCTGAGGTGGACAAATTCCATGTGCAGAGTACCAAACTCAGCAAGGATGCTGCTGCCAGCAGAAGCCCAGCCCCAGTTTCGACCCACACCGCTGAATTCCAATAAATATGCATAAACAAAGGGAGAAAACAACAAAAAAAATCAGAATTACTGTGCACAGCACTAGCAACAACCACCACGGCAAATTAAACAACAGCAAAATATTAACCCATACTTAAGGTTAAAGGACTTGTGGTTTGATTGGTCGGTTGGTTAATTGGTTGGGTCTTTTTGGGAAAAAAGATACCATAACTTCATCAACAAATAGTCCTGTGATTAAAAGACATAATATCTTGATGTCACAGAAATATAATTGGTTAACACTAGGCCCTCTGTTAAATAAACTGTTATTTATTCATTGTATGTTCCTAAGAACAAGAATCAAAAGCAACTATCAGATAAGATGAGTATAATTCTGGAGATGGCAACATTCGCTTCCTTGTTCTGTCAAACAACTGCTGTGGTCCCTTTACTTGTGTAGGATATGCTTCAAGTCAGCATTAGATGCTACAGTAGGATGGGAGTGGGTCCCATCTGTATCTACATAGAAAACCAGTATGTTTACAGTAGACAGAGTATTATGAGTTCCTCAGGCTCACATAAAGAATCAACAGAAAGCATCACATACCTCCTATCTTTTTCAGTCTAAGGGATAACATCTTGCTAAGTCATAACTCTTAAATTACCTCCGGTTTAATCTAATTTGGAAGTTTTCACCACTCTTCAGGATCAGGTCTTTTAATATCTCAAGTTAACTACATTTTCCTTCTATTTCCTCTCAAAAAAGCTTTCAGTTATGAGTAAGACTACAGTCACTTAGGAATGTCTTCTTACTTTTTTAAATTACAAATTAGAAAGAGGAAATGTAAAGGAAAGTGTTTGTTATGCAGCAGTATTTGTAGCTCTGACCTGACACAGAACACCACGTTTTAAAATACAGTAACCACTGGTTACAGTGTGTAGAGAGACAAAAATCACAGCTTGTCTCAGGGTTTTCTTGATACAGCTCTCATAAAAAGAGAAAATTAAGCACTCCATTATGAATGCAAAAGCTAACAGAACACAAGTCAATAATTTCCAATGTTTCTTTCAGGTCCTGTCTTTTACCTCATGATGAGCATTCTCATATATGCCTGCTACTGTCACTGTTGTCTGGCATGCCAGCCACTATTTTCTGCTGTGATGCTGGCTGGTTCCATACTCTACCAAGAGACTGACACAGTAAATGCATAAACAATACCAGCATGCAGGAAATTTCTGACACTCCAATCCTTTCCCCTCCATCTCCTGCAAATCCTCCTCCCTGGTCCTGCCTTTCCAACTGTGCTCTGATAACCGACTGAAGTGACTGGCCTCTGTGTTTTACTGGTAAGTAGCCATGCATCTACTGCTTGCAGCTTCTTAAACCTCTCCACCTATGTTGCTCGAGCCAGTGAGCCAGGCACCTGTGCTGCCTGAGGAGTATGGCTACCTGGGCCCTTCAAACATACTGGAATCATGGTGCAGGCCTGGATTAAAAGCAAAACTAATAATAAAAAAAACAACTTATGCACAGAAGAATTTCAAGCTGTATGAAACTGCAGGAAGAACACAAAACTGAGCAAAACATAATGCTGTGCAGAATGTAATAGGGAAATTTAACCCAAAATATTAATTGTACAGAGGTCCATAAATGGCCTCAGAGAGGAAAGAACAGAACAGGCAAGCAGAGAAAACCAGGCAAGGGCGGTGAGGCCCTGCACCAACAGAAAGGCAAACCACAGCTCCATGCGAGGAGGGACACCAAAGTGAGGATCGTTTACTGATCACAAAAAGGCACGTAAGGCTAATGCTCTCAAAGCAGTCCTAAACCTCTTCACAGTCTAACAAAGCATAACAAATGTCTCTCCTAGAAGGAAAATAATTTAAAATAATTAAACTTTGCTATCCCGAATTGCTTAAGTGTACATGCAATCTACACATGCATCCCAATTAAGAACACAAGAAAAACATTTTAAAATGCCTTTCATCAAAAACACTCTCAGAATCGGAGGGAAATCCCAGCATCGAACAAGTCATACAAGATAAATTAGGCAAGGCAATTCTCTTCCACAAGGCAATGCAGACTAAGTTCAGTGTCTGACCTGAACAGCCATCTAAAGGAGCCTCTCTGTCTCCACAGACCATAGTGGACTTCAGTACACTAGCCTTTCTAACTAAGCTGAACCGTAAAATGAATTAATACCTTCAGAGTCCCACCATCTTCTCAAACATTGTGAGTCTTCTAAAAGTAACATACCAATCACACAGTACATAAAAACCAGTAAGTTCCACCAGGGCCTGCAAACAATTTTGGTTTTTAATAGGTTCTTTAATGACGAAAGAATCAATGATTAAGCTCTAGGGCAACACGTGGCATAACACACTGGGTATGTTCCAATAGCATGTTGAATTTTTACTGCAGAATCTGAAGAAAAAAATCATGGTCACAATTTATGGCAGTTAATGAGGTAGAATGCTCTGAACTCTATTAAAATTAAAGTGCTAGGAATGCAAATTTGGCTGCATCTTCTACAGTTCCACTACTAAGAAAAACTGACATATACCATTACTTATTTTAAGTTGAAAGGAGGAGGAGTAACACACTTCCCCACAAAAGAAAATTCATTACCTTTTCAGATTCACCATGGCCCATGGTATACCCGTAGGTGTGTTGAAGGCTGGAAGAAGTTTTCCTGCCAGTTGCACTGCTTTGATCTTGAAAACCTAAGATAGTAGGACCAATTGCAAATAGTTACAAAGTCTGATTTATCTCCAAGAACTATAAAGACTGAAACTTCCTTGCCCCACCCGTCTCTTTGTATTAAAAAGCTTTACATTGTAAAAAATATATTAACTTATAATTTATTTTTCTCTTGTTCACTTTATAAATTTCATTAATATTTGAACATAAAAAGAAAAAATGTCATTGTAATTTCTTTCCTTCCATGCTCTCCAGCAAGAGTGCTTAGGTTCCTATTAAAGGAGAATATCAATTCTCCTCCCACCTCCCTCCACCAATTACAAGTGCTTTCTAAAGCAGTCTTTAAATCATACTTTATATGTTGTAGATAAAAATCGAGACAACTCACCCACCCCACACACAAGTATTTTAACTTTTACAAACTTCCAATCAAATTTTAATGATATATATAGTGCAGACAGAGTTCCTATTCTTTTATGAACACTGCCTATGCAAAACCATGTATATGCAGTTTTCTATAGCTTTTCCTTCATTGATAATGCATAAGAAAAGTAATTATAGGATTAATCTCCCCTCTTGAGTCTGCTTACTCATAGAAATTACTGACCGTATGAAATCTCTTTCACTTCTAGCGTTGTTCCTACTTACTTTTGGAACATTAATGTGGAACAGCCTTATTCAGAGCCTAAAGTTTATTAGTTAAATAAGCAACTGGGAGAAAGCTCCTTCTAAGCCTATAGCAAGTATCTTTTCCAAGAAGGTTATCTGTTAGATCCCCGTGACATAAAATTGTATTACCAGCTAGTTGCTAGAATACATTTTAATTAACTCATTATCAGTGTTCACTACATTTCTGCAAAAGCATCTTCTTAATGTGGAGGTAACATTATTCATCAGTTTGAAGTACTGCATAAACATATAACAAAAAGAGCTACCATGCCCCAAAATAACTTACATAATATGGACACACTACAGAAACATTATTATCAACTACCTGACCAATCCTCTGCAATCAAGAAGAATAAAAGCTTTAAGAAGAAGTACAAGACAGGTCTGTTGTATTTATAAAAAGGATTTCTCCCTTTTGTAAAGTCTATGGGAGAAAAACAGAAGAGATGCTCACTGGAGAAGGAAGCTGAAAAGTAGCTGGAAAACAAGCAATCAAGAACATCCTCATTTTTCATACCAAAATGAGAAAAGATCTATATCTTAATATTTGAGGAGATGACTAGTGAGACATGAAATAAACCAGAAAAGAGTATTAAAGATGACACCTAATGGTATTTGATGCAGTGGGGTATGGAGAGATGAAGGTGGACCTGAACGCAATGAGCCAGGAAAAAGAACTTTCAGAGGTACTCTAAATGAATTTTAAGATGGGATATGTCTAAACTGAAAGAGAGGATACCTCAGAAAACAAATTGATAGAATTGTGAAGTAACAGAGGCAATATGGCTTGAATGATTTTTAGCAAAGATACTGATAAAAGACAGTCTTTGAGAAAATGTGGAAATTTAGCAGTAAATTTCAGATAACATCCTGACCTTGAATAAAGGACCAAGTAAAAATTGGAGGGCATAGTATAAGTAAGAGGTATAATACAGGTGGAGTCTATGGTAACCGGGGAGAAAGAAACTCTGAAGAGAACTAAAAGCTCTATCTTGGCCCAGTTACATATGAACTACCTGATTTGCATGTATAAATACGTTGTCAAAAATTCATGCTGAACTATTACATCTTTAAGTAGTAGATGGGTCAAGACTAGTCAGAACTATCTACAGGGAGTCATCTAAAGGGAGTTCCTCTACAGCACAGACAAGATTCAACACTTAATCCAGAAAAGACTGATGATTTTTAGTTAAATGGTACATAGTTCAGCAAGACATTTGTGGCATGAATTTTTTTAGCTTCAGCTTTTGGATCTTGCATTATTGTATTATTCATTAATAAAAGTTACTGAAACATGAGGGTAGTAATATTCAATGGAAGAACAACCCTAGAAACATCCTTGATAGAAAAATATTCTTAATGGCTAACTATTCACCTACTGCTATTCAGCTTTTAATCAATTTGAAGTGTACTACAATATTTCGGGGAAAAAGCAATCATTTTTAGTAAGAATGTATGAAGAAAGGCTGATCTAAATGTGCATGAGTCTAGAAAAGGACAGTTAAAGGAAAGCAATCACTGTGCCAGCCATTTCAGCATGTGAGCAAATCAGAGCATCAGGGCAGCAGCAGTAATTTGCTAGTTCAGGCAACCACATTAGCAGTACCTGCGAAAATTTGCTGTCATTAGAGGCACCCTCCTGTCACCTCTGTTGGTTTGAGGACTCTACATATCACTGATTTAGCATCAGAAGGTAAAACTCTACCTCTCTCTGTCCCTCTCATCCCAAACCAAATGCAAGGAAACAAAAATTTGGCTGAAGACATGCCTTTACTTTCTGTTACTGCCATCTCAGTCCTATCTCACTGCTGCTTCTGGATAACAAACCCACCCGGTGCCTAATATAGTCTTTACCTAGGCAGACTGGAGTGAGAACTGGGAGACAGCTGAAAAAGTTTTATCAGAGAAAAGTGGCCAGAAGAGCATATTTGGAGAGATACAGGAAAAGAAAGAAATGTAGCAAGCAGTGGTGGATGAGATCCCCTTTATCGGAGGCTGCAAATGTGACCAGAGTGCTCTGCTGAGCTTGGTAAGTCATTTCTGACTTATGGTAAGTTGCAGACTTACCATAAGAGCAACAGTAAATGGCTCAGGCTCTAGGTTTTAAATAGTGTACTGGCATCAGACGATGTGGTTACTTATCATATAGTAAGTATTTTTACTGTTGTTTTTTTTATAACAGGTTGAACAGAATCTAACTGATAGAGTCTGTTGCCTTCACAGTTCCATGTTTTGACAGGCAAAGCATTTCAAGAAACATATAGGCAAGAAGAAAAGAGAAGAACAAAAAAAAAATTAATCGATGCCTCAAAAAAAGAGCTCATTAGGAAACAGTAAAAGAATTGGCGTTATTTAGTCCAGAGAAAAGATGCTGAGGAGAGGACAAGATAATGACTTTTCAGTATATAAAAGGCTAATGAAAGGAAATAATAGGTTTTTTCCATGTCCATGGAAAATACAAAGTAACACCAAAATGGAGCAAGAGAAAGGAAGTTAGTTATTATGAAAAAGTTGGTGATAAAGATTAATAATGAAGCATGACTGCGATTGCTGCAGTCTCATCACTACGTTTTTAAAAACACACTGTACAATACACACAACTATGAAGACTGACATGATTTGACTTTGTGAGGGAACAGAGAACAACTGAGACCTACACAGCTTCCTTACCACTCTCTTCCAGCCATATTGCTGTATTGGGTTTGCATGGCAAGGTTTTGGTAGCGGGGCGCAGGTTAAAGGGGTGGCTTCTGTGAGGAACTGGCAGAAGCTGCGTCAGTTAAAGCCAATGCCAGGCGGCTCCAGGACAGACCCACCACTGGCCAAGGCCGAGCCCATCAGTGATGGTGGTAGTGCCTCCATGGTAACATATTTAAGAAGCAGAAAAAACTGCTACACAACAACAATAGCAGCCAGAAGAAAGGAGTGAGAATATGTGAGAGAAACCACTCTGCAGACACCCAGGTCAGTGAAGGACGTGGAGGTGGTGTTCCAGGTGCCAGACCAGAGATTCCCCTGCAGCCCACATTGAGGCAAGCTGTCCCCCTGCAGCCTATGGAGGTTAACAGTGGAGCAGGTATCCACCTGCAGCCCATGGAGGGCTCCATACCAGAGCAGGTGGATACACCTGAAGGAAGCTATGACCACATGGGAAGCCCAGGCTGGAGCAGGCTCCTGGCAGGACCTGGGGAGAGAGGAGCCCACGCTGGGGGAGGTTTGCTGGCAGGACTTATGACCCCACAGGGGAGACATGCTGGAGCAGTCTGTTCCTGAAGGACCGCACCTCATGGAAGGGACCCGCCCTGGAGCAGCTCATGAAGAACTGCAACCTGTGGGAAGGACTGATGACAGTTCGTGGAGGCCTGTCTCCCATGGGAGGCACACCATGCTGGAGTGGGGGAAGTGTGAGGAGTCCTCCCCCTGAGGAGGAAGGAGCAACAGAGACAACACGTGATGAACTGACCCCGTTCCCCATCCCCCTGAGCCCCTTGGGGGGAGGAGACAGAGAAATCAGGAGTGAAGTTGAGCCCAAGAAGAAGAGTGGAGGGAAGGTGTTTTAAGATTTGGTTTTATTTTCTCATTACCCTACTCTTGATTTGATTGGTAATAAATTAAACTGATTTTCCCAAGTTCAGCTTGTTTTGCCCATGACTAACTGGTGAGTGATCTCTCCCTGTTCTTATCTCAACCCATAAGCCTTTTTTTTTTTTTTCCTCCTATTATCTCCCCTTTCCAGCTGAGGAGGGGCGTAACAGACCAGCTTTGGTGGGGCCCTGGTGTCCAGCCAAGGTCAACCCACCCCACCTGCCAACTAACCAAATGGCTTGTGCACATTCCATACATGCAAGAGAAAATTGTTTTGTCTCTCTCCTGGCCTTGTACCTACTCTGTAGACCCACATATCACCTTTGTAATTGGCACATAAATCATGGAGGCCACCCACCCCCAAGTTTCTTTGCTAGCACAACCTCCAAAGTATAGGACCCTAAACCAGAGAGGGAGTCACAGAAACCGCAAAGACAACAGCTCTCAAAGAAGTGCTGTTCCTGCAGGGTAACTCAATCCTTTTTTTCAAATGGGCATTCACACTTGCATTAGTTACAGACTTTAGCATGCAGTGGCCCTAAAACATGGAAGTAACTGATCCAAGTTGTCTTAAAGACTCCATAATAGCTCTAATAAGAAATTCTATGTCGAAGAAACAAAAACACTGTTCTAGGTAAACATGCGCATTCATCCCAGGGTAGCTGTTCTGTCCATTCTCAAAATATGGATTTTTTTCAGAAAAGTTTCAGACACCACCACAGACTTGGAGAAGTATTTCCATTTTACATGGCAAAATCTAATATACTAA